TCAATCCCAGATATCAATAATTATACTGAACCAGAGGTTGGAGAAGTACCCAGGTCTACTTGAGTAAAAGTAGAAGTAGTCCGATCTTGTACTTGAGTAAAAGTAGAAGTACTCAGATCTTGTACTTGAGTAAAAGTAGAAGTACCAGAGTGTAGGAATACTGTTTCAGTAAAAGTCCTGCATTCAAAATGTTCCTCAAGTAAAAGTAGAAAAGTATTCTCATCAAAATATAGTTAAAGTAGCGACAGTAAAAGTAGTCATTGTGCAGATTGGTCCATTTCAGAATAATATATATGATATGTTTTATAATGATTGATCATTAAAGTGTTCTCAAAGCTGGTAAAGGTGCAGCTGTACTCGACACTATTCAAAAGTAGCATTTGAATACTTAAACACATTTGGTTTATTGGATCAATGCAGCGTTGTGTTACTATAATACAAAAAATATCGTCAAATCCTTTGAAATAATAACTGTAAACTATATTGATAATTGTTTATTTGTGCACACGTGGGGAAAAAAACGTAGTTCCTGAATAATAGCATTAATAATTTAAGGTATTTTAATTAATTTTGAGGTATTTTATGCTCTGGTTTTACTGATTTGAACAAACAATGATTACTAGAGAAATAATTAGCAGATATTTGCAGTCCTATACAATAAGCTCCACAATAACCAACTGCGACAGTAAAATGTCCTTTTACATTAATGCAAGTAATGATACGCTCAAAATATAATACAAATAATAAAACAGTCAGAGGAGATATACTGTGATGACAAACCACAACAAACAAGAGGCTGTTTTAATTTTTCTTTATAACTATTGCCAAAAAATAAAGCAACATAAAAACAAAAATCGTTTTTCTTTACAACTGATTATCATCGTAGTGTGCACTTAATACTGTAGCTTAGTCCACACACACACACACACACACACACACACACGGCTTTGCTAAAGGGACCATTTCACTGCATGTAGTGTGATCAGGAAAATATATATAATTCACACCAAAAAACAAACAAAAAAGGCAACATTGGAAACTAAAGCAGGTTCAGTGGATCAGAGCTTTTTCAAGTAAAGACAAAAGAAATGTGATGAAGTGGACCCTTTAAAAGACATGTTTTAGCTCGTTGTGCTAACGCTACGTGTTCCTCGTGGCTCTGTGTGAACGTGGAATGAGATTCTTTTAGCGTTCGTCTCCTAAAATGTCGTTAATCACTCCCGCTGCACCTCGTAAAGTCCAACAGAAACACATTCCCAGCGAGCAGAGGCTTCAGATGTGTCGGGGTTTTCTGCAGGTAGCGATAACACACGCAGAAAACAAACACAAAAACAGTTGGATGCTAACCACTTAGCATCACGGCACCACAAACCCCTTTAATGACTACTCCGTACAGGAAATGAACGTTGTTTTGATCAATTCCTCACGCTGTGTTACCTTGACTACTGACATGTTTTCACTTGCATGCTTCCACGGTTAAAGAATATTATAAAAACTGAATCGAAACACAACTCGTTTATCCAGTCGTAGTCTCACTGCTTTACTAACACATGCCCTTTTCCTTAAAGTCTCACATTATTGCAGGTGTTCTACACGTGTTTGAAATGTTATGGTTTTAGTAATACCGTTTGTTTAACGGGCATTCAACTAAATATGCAGAGTGGTTTTTTGATTTAATTGGGCATTCCCCCCTCGTTAGATTCAATGCATCAACCTTTCTCAGTTTTTTTATTCCTTGTTCAAAGTGGAGGCAATTTCAAGGTAACACGAGTAAGAAACCGATTTATAAATTAGTCATTTTCTGGGTAAAGTACACCTTAGAAGATCATATCGTGAGTTTCAAGGGTAATAACTTCAGTTTTTTTCAATGTGGGCCCCATTTTTGAAATATGTTTGTGTCCAATAGGAACTTTTACTTTGAAATGTTGCACCAATATACCTCATTTGAGGACGAAGCCGAGAAAAACACATTTCTCTAAGAATTCAAGGTTTCACGAGTGGGAAACTGATGTATTAATGGCCATATTGTCACTTAGAAGCCTATTTTCAGAGTTTTAGGCGTTATAACTTAAGTATTGTTCAACATGGACCGCATTTTTTCACTGTTTGTGTGTCTAATGGGAACTTATTTTGAAATGTTTCAGTATTGAGCAAGAAAAACACATTTCTCTAAGAATTCAAGGTTTCACGAGTGGGAAACTGACGTATTAATGGCCATATTGTCACTTTGAA